AGTAGGAGATGATAAAGTAGGAACAGACATGCTAGAGGAACAGATCACTGCTTTTGAGGACTATGTACAGTCCACGGATGTGGCTGCTTTTTTAACAAGATCTAAAATCACCTCAGAGCATTACATTTAAATAAAAGTTTGAAAGATTAAAACAAAAAGGGAAAGCTGGAAATGGAGCTGTGCCTCAACTGGTAGAGTGTTAGCCTTGAGCATAAAAGCTCAGTAACAGTACCCAGGCCCTGAGTTTAAGCCTCAGCATTGGCACAGGGGAAAAAAAGGATCTTTCTCATACAGGTAGGATGGTATGACCTGTAATCATATCTACTGGAAGAGATGAAAGGATAGTGGTTTCTGGACAAGCCAGCCTCCACCTCAAAAAAAGGAAAAAGTAAATAAACAGCTAAAAACAAAATTAAGGAGACCCTATCTCACCAAACCAGGCTGGTGATTCAATTCTGTAGAATCCCAGCAACTCAAAAGAGGCAGAGGTAGGAGAATTGCTGTTTGAGGGCAGGCTAGGAAAAGGTGTGAGATCCCTAGCACTGTGAAAAAAAAAAAATTCTATGTTGAGAATAGACTATAAAGGGCCAAGAGTAGAGCTAAAATGGGGATACCACTTAAGAGATTTTTAATGGCGTGGAGGAGACTATGGTGGTTTAGATTACAATACAAAATAACAGGTTTTTCATAGCTCCTTTAGCAGTAAAACTTAGTTTGAACTCATCTGGAATTAGAGTTGAACTATACTGAATTATATTTAAGAGTTTTTTTTTATTGTGAAAATACTGTACAAAGGGGTTACAATTACATGGGCAAGATAATGAGTACATTTCTTATAAAGCATTGTAGCCTCCTCCTTTGTTTCTCCTTCCCATCCCTTCCCATCCCTTCCCATCCTACCCCCCCGCCCCCCCCATCCTCCCCGTCCCAACCCCCACCAAAGTTGTAAAGTTCGTTTTCAACATAACGACTTGTACTTCTTTTTTTTGTCGGTCATGGGGCTTGAACTCTGGGCCTGGGCGCTGTCCCTCAGCTCTTCAGCTCAAGGCAAGCACTCTACCACTTGAGCTACAGCGCCACTTCTGGTTTTCTGGTGGTTTATTGGAGATAGGAGTCTCACGGTCTCTCCTGCCCGGGCTGGCTTTGAACCACGATCCTCAGATCTCAGCCTCCTGAGTAGCTAGGATTACAGGCGTGAGCCACCAGCGCCTGGCTTTTTGACTTGTACTTCTTATACTTAAGAGTTTTATAACATTTGTTGTAACTAGCATACATTTTTCCCCAGAAGTTTTAATGTATTTTTCTTACTTTGTTGCTGTCTCAGTTCTTGGTATTAGTGTTACATACACACACACAATCACTTCAATAACACCCCCCAAAATTTTTTTAATTTCTGAAATAATGACTGGATCCAGGGTTTTTGTTACAGAAATTAGAAGTATATGGCTGTGGAGATAGGGAGATATGGTTGGATTCTGGATGTATTTAATTAATTTTGTTGGTCATGGGGATTGAACTCATGATCCCTGAGCTCATTTTGCTTAAGTCAAGTTCTCTACCACTTTGAGGCACAGTGCAACTTCCAGTTATTGAGTGATTAATTGGAGGTAAAGTCTCATAGGGATTTTTCTGCCTGGGCTGGCTTCGCCATGTTCTCAAATCTCAGCCTCCTGAGTGGATAGGATTACAGGCATGAGCCACTGGGGCCCAGCTCTGGATCTGTTTTATTTTTATTTATTTATTTATTTTTGGGTCCGGTCGTGGGGCCTGAACTCTGGGCCTGGGCACTGTCCTTCAGCTTTTCAGCTCAAGGCTAGTGCTCTACCACTTGAGCCACAACGCCACTTCCGGCTTTTTTCTTTTTGCTTATGTGGTGCTGAGGAATTGAACACAGGGCCTCACGCGAGCAAGGCAAGCATTCTACCACTGAACCAACTTCCCAGCCCTGGATCTATTTTAAACTTAAATATATTTAAGAATTATTGATGGGAGCAGAGCACAGGTGGCTCATGCCACCTGCTGAGTTCTGAGAATTGAGGTTTGAAGCCAGCCTGAGTAGGAAAGTCCTTGAGACTCTTTCTTTTGTTTGCTTTTTTGTTTTGTTTATTTATTTGTTTGTTTGTTTTTTGGTCGGTCGTGGGGCTTGAACTCTGGGCCTGGGTGCGGTCCCTCAGCTCTTAAGCTCAAGGTGAGCGCTCTACCACTTGAGCTACAGCGCCACTTCCAGTTTTCTGGTGGTTTATTGGAGATAGGAAGTCTCACGGTCTCTCCTGCCCGGGCTGGCTTTGAACCGTGATCCTCAGATCTCAGCCTCCTAAGTAGCTGGGATTACAGGCATGAGCCACCAGCGTCCAGCTTCCTTGAGACTCTTATCTCCAATTGACCACCAAATAGAGCCCGAAAAATGGAGCTGTGGCTCAAGTGGTAGAGTGCTAGACTTGACTCGGGGGAGGGGTGGGTGGGTGGTGGAAGATCAGGGATGGTGCCCAGGCCTTAAGTTCAAGTTCTAGGACTGACACATGTACACCCACCCCCCCACACCCCCCCCCACACATACACACATGAAAAAAAAAAGAATTACTGATGAGCAGGATGTGGGGTATATAAAAAAGAGGAATCAAGTGTCCAGAGTTTTGGTCTGATCAATCAGGATAGAGTTACCATCATCTGAGATAGAGAAAGGCTGTGGATAAAGAGTTATTTTTCATATAAATAGTAGTTCATTTTTTGTACATGTTGGCCTTGAGGTATTCAGTACCAGTTAGCTTTTAAGTATGTGAAATGTGAGTGGTAGGTCTGAGAAAGAAAACACTTTCAAAACTTTCAAAACTCTCAAGTGGATGGTAAGTTGGCACAGTGGTTTTGGGATCAGTTAGAAATGCTGATATTTTATTAATTCCAAAAAGTATAAGAATGCATATAGGAGTATTATTTTTGATAGAGGAGAAAAACAACAAAGAAAAATTAAATCTCCATTTATTGCAGGATGAATAAATTTAAAAAATATTGGTACGTTTATAGACTAGACTACTTACTGTCTAAAGACTAATGAACTAAAGTATGTATTCACATGATGAATGTACCAGTGTCTATAGTGTTGTCTAATGTCAGTAATAACATATGAATACCTATGAAATCATGTGCATGTAATTTTAAAACATGTAAAATAATATTAATAAGTATTTACATATAAATAATGGAAGGTACATAAAAATTAAGAATTGTTTTTACTAACTTTAGTTATACAGAGAGGAGTTTCACACATGTTTATGTAAAGAATCATTTTTAACAAAGGACTGATGAGAATTAGAACTGTACATACTGAGTGAAAGTCACAGGGGCCCCAAATATTACTTTAAGGGTTTCTCATGCCAGTAGTGAAAGTATTCTTTTTGTTATATATTTTCTGTACTTTTTACTTGTCTCAGATATTTTCTGATTAGTCCTTCCCCCAGTCCCATATATTTTTTTAAAATTTCCTAGCTCTAAGGATGTGAATCCCCTAAATTAATTAGCAATTAAAGGCTAGTTCAAGGTGGCTCAGTGGTAGAGTGCTTGCCTTGCATGCCTGAGGCCCTGGGTTTCTTCAGCACCACATAAGCAAAAAGAAAAAAAAAAAGCCAGAAGTGGTGTTGTGGCTCAAATGGTAGAGCACTAGCCTTGAGCTGAAGAGCTGAGGGACAGCGCCCAGGCCCAGAGTTCAGGCCCCACGACCGGACCCAAAAAATAAATAAATAAATAAAATAAAGGCTAGTTCAAGGAGTGTCTAGGATCTACTGGGGTGATGGTTCCATCTAGTGGGAGAAATACTGTAACTATTTTATGAGTCATTCTTTTCAGAAGGAAGAATAAAGAAATAATCTTTTTTGTTGTTTATTTTTATTTTGTTGGTTGTGGGGCTTGAACTCTGAGCTTGAGCGCTGTCCCCTCAGCTCTTCAGCTTAAGGCTAGTGCTCTACCACTTGAGCCACAGTGTCACTTCTGATTTTTCTGAGTGGTTTCTGAGTTGAGATAAATCTCTCAGACATTCCTGCCCTGGCTGACTTTGAACCATGATCCTCAGCCTCAGCCTCCTGAGTAGCTAGGATTACAGGTGTGAATCACAGGTGCCAGGCTTGTTTATTTTTTTGTGCCAGTCCTGGGGTTGGAACTCAGGGCTTGGGTGCTGCCCAAGTTTTTTGCTGAAGGCTAGTGTTCTACTACTTGAAATACAGCTTTTTGGGTAGTTAATTAGGGATAAGAGTCTCACAGGTTGCAGGGCACAAGTGGCTCATGCCTGTAATCCTAGCACTCAGGAGGCTTAGATCTGATATCTGGGTTCAAAGCCAGCCTGGGTAGGAAAGTCTGTGAGACTCTTTTTTTTTAAATTTAATTTAATTTTATTTTATTTGTGAACATACTGTACAGAGGGGTTACAATTACATGGGCAGGATAATGCGTACATTTCTTACCAAGCATTGCAGCCTCCTCCTTTGGTTTACCCTTCACATCCCTTCCCAGCCTCCCCCCTCCCCCGTCTGTGAGACTCTTATCTCCAATAAACTACCAGAAAATCAGAAGTGGCACTGTGGCTCAAGTGGTAGAGCACTAGCCTTGAGCTGAAGAGCTGAGGGACAGTGCCCAGGCCCATAGTTCAAGCCCCACAACTGACCCAAAAAACCAAAACAAAAAACAAAAAAACCCCAAACCAAACTAAAATAAAAATCAAGAGTCTCACAGGCTTTCCTACCCTAATGCCTTCGAGTCTTCTTCAGATCTCAGCCTCCTGCGTAGTTATTATTACAGGCATTAAGCCACTAGCATCTAGCAAGAGGTAATCTTGTCGGCTGTTTATTTCTTTAAACATTTAAAGGTAAAGTAAGTTATCATTTAGAGTTAAGTCTTTGTGACTTAAATTGTAAAACAATGCTTTAAATCTTCTAAGCCATTTAAGAATTCTTAGAGAACTCAGATGGGCTCTTAGGTCTTTCTAACTTGGTTGTATTTATTTTGTTTTTCAGAAGGAGTTGAGCCTTCCAAGAAGAGGCAGCTTGTAAGTAGATGATTATTATCATTATGATTATTCTTTAGATGGAGAATCTTTTCTCAGTATCCATTAGAGAAATTCCGTTCAAGAACTTTCTCTATGACTACCATCTGAACCAGAGAAGCCACTGGATTAGATGGTTTCTCTCAGGTCAAAGTCTCCTCTTTATCCTGTCCCTCTCCACCCAAATCTCCTTCTTTGCCTCAATTTTTGCCTAGCATTGAAGTAGCTGCCATTTAAATATCATCACAATCTTATTTTTGTGTTTTGGAATTCACTGAATTTTAGTAGGCTGAAGCTAAAAGCAGATTGAAACTGTGCATGTTTCTGTCCTATAACATGGATACTGGAGAGAGATCATATTTTTCTGACAAGTTGGGGCAAACAAGAGTAGGGAAATTTTATTCTGTCATTTTTTATTGTTTTATTCTGGCATTTTTCCTAGATTTTAACTTTTTATATTTTCTTGGGATACCTTTTTCTCTTTAAAAATCCTTTTGAGGAGTTGGAGGCATGCCTCAGTTGGTAGAGCCAATAAGCAAAAGCCTCAAGTGCCAAATTCAAGTCCCAGTCTTGGGCAAAAATATTATAATAAGAAAGAGTTCTTTTGAATAAGTATTGCTTATTTGGATAATTATAATCATCTGGAATGTTTAAAAGCAGAATTGAGGATTTTTTTTTTTTTTTGGTTGTGGGGCCTGAGCGCTGTCCCTCAGCTCTTCAGCTCAAGGCGAGCGCTTTACCACTGGAGCTACAGTGCCACTTCTTGTTTCTAGTGGTTTATTGGAGAAAAGAGTTTCATGGGCTTTCCTGCCCGGGCTGGCTTTGAACTGAGATCCTCAGATCTCAGCCTCCTGAGTAGCTAGGATTATAGGCATGAGCCACCGGTGCCCGGCTAAAATTGAGGAATTTTGGAGGTGGGGATGCGGGAAGTAGAATACGTACTTATTAAATTAAAATCCCCATGTAAAGGTCCCAAGACAGTATTTTATATACCTGTACCTTACTTACTCTCAGGCCCACACCTGTCATGATTTAATTAAAGGACAAATTTTTGAAATATTTAAGGAAATAAAACTATAATAAAACAATTAGCTTGAATCTTTTCCTTAAGGAAACATGAAATTTTAGAGGACACAATTTCATGTATATTTATTTATTATATATGCTTTGTGTATATATCATATATGAAGTAATTCTACATGTTTTATTGAAATACTATGATTATTTTCTTACACTTTAAAAATTTGTTTTTTAGTCCTGGAGTTCACAGGTGCTCTGCACTGAGCCATGCCACCAGCCTCCCTCCCTTTTTTTTCCTGCCTGACCTAGGTGCTGTCTCTGAGCTCTTTTTGCTCAAGGCAGGTGCTGTACCTCTTGAGACACAGCTCTACTTACACCTCTTTGGTGGTTAATTGGAAATAAGAGTCTCTAGGATTTTTCTACCTAGGTTAGCTTTGAGTAGTGATCCTAAAATCTTAGCCTCCTGCAGAATTAGCCAGTGATGCCCTGTGCCCTTCTTTTTTTTTATACTGATTATTTTCAGATAATCGTACTTCCTGCCCTGATATATACCTGAACTTCAGTCTGTCTTATTTTTGGCTTCCTGTTATAGCAAAATGACTGGCATATACTAATACACTGACCTTTTTCCATTGAGATGAAATTTAGCACACCTTCTCCCCTGCCCCACCTCCCACCCCCCTTGGCTGGCCTGGAATCATAATCATTATCTCAGCCTCCCAAGTAGCTAGGATGACTGACATACAACACCACACTCTGCTATGAATTGAGAAGGGATCTTGCAACCTCTCTGCTTCCTGGAACCTAAATCTCTCTGTTCTCAGCCACCCAAACCAGCTAGGATTATAGGTGCTATTATTAAGCCAGCAGTGGCTTGGTTTGTTTTTTCTTTTTATTAAAGCAGTTAGAAAGATCATTTAATAGGCTGGGAATATGGCTTAGTGCTTGCCTAGCATACATGAAGCCCTGGGTTTTATTCCTTAGTACTACATTAACAAAAAAAGCCAGAGGTGGCAATGTGGCTTAAGTGGTAGAGTGCTCGCCTTGAGCAAAAGAAGCTCAGGAACAGTGTCTAGGCCCTAAGTTCAAACCCCAGGGCTGGCAAAAAACAAACAAAACAGAACAAAGCAAAACAAAAAAAAGAAAGATTTAATATTATTCAGTAGTACTTCATTACTTGAAGGTTTGTTTTTGGGGGCTGCGAAGATGGCTCATTGGTAGAGTGCTTGCCTTGCGTGCACTACATAAGGAGAAAAGCCAGAAATGGCGCTGTGGCTCAAGTGATAGAGTGCTAGCCTTGAGCTGAAAAGCTGAGGGATATAGCGCCCAGGCCCAGAGGTCAGGCCCACGATCAACCAAAAAAAAAAAAAGTATTTTTAAACTATAAATATAATGGATTAAAGTTGGATAAATTCTATTATTTAAAATTTGTGGGTTTTTAAATTTTTTCTTTGTTTTTGCCAGTCCTGGGGCTTAAACTCAGAGCCTGGGCTCTGTCCCTGAGCCTCAATTTGCTCAGGACTAGGACTCTGCCACTTGAGCCACAGCACCACTTCTGGCTTTTTGTTTTAACAGTGAATTTCGTGTCTAGCTTCAGGAATGTCTGAAGTCTATAAGCTGGACGAGGCAAGGGTACTAGTAGGATTCTTAGGGGAATAGTATACTAATAGTTATGTGCAACCGAGAGAGTATAGCTTATCTGTATCATTCAGCAAGTATTTGTAACTTGACTTCTCTACTATTTTTGACATTCTATCTACGTGTGTGTGTGTGTGTGTGTGTGTGTGTGTGTTGCATGTGCGCGCTGCTCCAAAGGCTTGAACTTGGGCCTGGGCTTTGTCTCTGACAGTTGTGCAGATGGATACCCAGAGAGTTAAGCTATTTTAGTATTCTTTGCACATTAAGATAATGGTTCTGATTCTGTGAAGCATCTTTATAGGCAATCTGCAGTCAGTAGAGCTAAAAAAGACTTTAGAAGTGAAAAGAAATTATTCATCAGTGTGTGTGTGTGTGTGTGTGTGTGTGTGTGTGTGTGTGTGTGTGTCTCTCTGTCCTCTAAGAGCCTATGGAAATCGTTATACTTTTGCACTATTAGTCTACCAATTTGATCATGGTCTAGGACACAGATAATGGATGAAAGTAAACATAATGTCTATATTGATAGAGAGCTAACAAGGAAGTAATCCTGAGCTCAAGGATGCAAGGTGTCAAAATTTGCCTCTGTGAAACAGATTCATTGCCATGTACTTTCCCACTCTGATGTGATTTGATATATAGATTATTGTGCTGGATTATGTGCTAAAAAGAGATACCACCTGCTAGATATACCTCATAAATTTTTTGTGAGATGTCAGTGGTACCTGAAAAAGGCTTTAGTTTTTTTGGTGGGACTTTGAAAATTAGGAAACTTTTAGCACCGTGAACTTAGGGTGATAGCGTTGTATTAGATGTAAAAGTGTGTCTTTAAAAATGATGTTCTATAGTAAATGATTTCATGAAAGTTCTTGGTGTATTTTGTGAGAAAACAAGAGTTGTTAGAAGTTAGCAGGGATGTTCCAACAGTCATTAATTTCCTTACAAGAACTATTTTGTTAGGAAATAATCATGTTTGTCAGTGAATTGTAAATATGTGGACACAAAACCTATAAATCCTTGAGAGCTTGTTGTTATTATTGAGAGTAGCTATTGTTATTTTCATATTCCCACATTTATTATCTCTAGACCTTACATACAACTGCAGCTCATTATAATCTGTGTGGGTGTCTCAGGTTTCTCTTCTTCAACATTTATAAAACTGAAGACATTGTCTTTCACAGAAACCGGTTTCTTTATTAGTCTTCAGTTTGCTAACTTCTTCAACATGGGAAGTTTATGGCTCTTGTTGTTTGGTGGTAGTTTGTCCTAAGGAAGCTCTGTTGTTCCTTATGGGTAGTTTCAGTACCTATAAAGATGTTACTGAGCTGGGCACTGGTGACTCACACCTCTTCTGTAATCCTAGCTACTCAGAAGGCTGATATCTGAGGACTGAGATTTGAAGCCAGCCAGAACAGGAAAGTTCGTGAGACTTTTTTTTTTTTAAGTCAGTCATGGGGCTTGAACTCTGGGCCTCAGTGCTATCCCTCAGCGCAGGGCGAGCACTCTAGCACTCTACCACTTGAGCCACAGCGCCACTTCAGGTTTTCTGAGTGGTTTTTTGGAGATAAGAGTCTCATGGAGTTTCCTGCTCAGGCTGGCTTTGAACTCCAATCCACAATCAAAGTGCCACAGTGGTCAGTTTTTGGTAAAGACTTTCTGGCTTGTAAGCAGACATCTTTAACAATGTGCTCACTTGGCTTTCCTTTGGTATGGATGCTGAGGGATGAAAGGTTGGATCTCTCTTCTTATAAATCCACTAGTCTTAACAGGATTAGGACCCCACTCTTAAACTTATTTAGCCGTAATTACTTCCTAAAGGCTTATATTAAAAAAAATGGTCACTTTGGCAATTAATTCTTCAAAATATGGATTTTATGGTAGGTGCAATTTAGTCCAAAGATGGTATGCTCTGTGAGGTCAAGATGGTGGTAGTTAATGGTTAATAAATGATAGTTAATGCTTAATAAATAGTAGACAATCTCTGTCTTTCTAAAATTGCTGTAGTAGGAGAAAAGAATATAGAGTTATAAGTTGTAAAAGTTTTAAATTTGGCTTAACAAACTGTAAAATAAAACATGTTCCAGATACCTCTAGAAATAAAGTTTCATAATAACAAACTTAAAATATTGAAAGGCTATTGATTTTTTAAAAAGACACAAGTTAAGGGGTTGGGAATTTAGTTTAATGGAAGATCAGTAGCTTTAGCAAGTGCAAGTCCCTGAGTTTGGCCCTCAACACTATACACACACACTCATGCACACCCAAACACACATACACACACGAAGCAAAAAAGACACATTAGATGTTATTAACAATAAAAAAGTTTGAGGCAATTCTTGGTTGCATAA